CCTGGCGCTCATCAAACAACTCAGGAAGGAGCAGACCAAAGTTAGTAACTGTTTTCAAACACAATGAAATCTACAAAGACAGCCATGCAGGTCCATCTGCAGCTGACAGATACTTTTCTGACAGCTGTTCAGTCAGCTCTAAGGATTATCCTGCTGGTGTCGAGTGATATCATTAGGGTTATCATAACTCACAGTTTATTTATTTTTAAATAAAAGGCTGCATTACAAACTACTTGTGCAGAGTTTTTAAGATGATGGCATTTAGAGAAAGTCTAAGGAAGGATGCATTCAGGTTGCCTATGGGAATTGTAGTATCCAGTCAATTTTTCTTGCCACATAGTAAGCGCCAGAAATCCCAATAATTTGGTTTTGCTGCTTTTACCGTGACCATCCTTTTATTTTTGACTCCCCACTAAAAGCAATATTCAATCCCTGGAGTGACCCTTCTTTAAATTTTAAATTTCCAAACATAAGGCACCACAAGCTCAAAACTTTCTTCAACATGATGCTTTTGTGGAACAGAAATCACAGACATGGGTAACCTTCTCTCATGAACATAAGATAGGGCTCATGTTTGAAACATTAAAAACACGTCCTCTCTCGTGTATATAAGAAGAACATAAACAATATAATAGTAGATGTATTTCTTAATTTGAAATGCAGGTAAACAGAGGATTGAAGAGTTATAATAAGACCTCTATGGGAGATATTATTGTGTATAGAAGTGTTGTTGTCATACATTCATTAAAAAAACATAATGTGTTCTATCTTCCTGGTCTCCAGTTAAAGCTGATGCAGTCAGAGCTGAATGTTGAAGAGGTTGTCAGTGACAGAAGTCTGAAGGTATGCTCACATTAATCCGTACTATGATCACACTATCCATCTTATCACACATCAGTTATTGATTTTAAACGTTACTTCCTGGTGCTTAGGTTTTCAATGAAAGGTGCAGAATCCACTACACACCTCCAAAGGTGAAGTGAAGGTCGGCCCGACCAGAGGAGCTGCTTCACCCGGGGTTCAAACCCAGACTGGAGCTGAAGCTGTGAGCTGCTGCTGAGTCCTGACTCCAAGGGGTTCACCATCCAGACCCCCTCTGACCTCGTCTCCAACTCGTCTGTATTCCATTGTGGTTATTGTATTGTTTTGCCACCGCTGTAAAACAGTCCACCGTGTGCTTCTTTGATGATAAACATTGTACAAAAAGACATTTTTTTTAAAGACAATGAAATGTTTTCAAGTGAAACGTGTTTCTGTGTGATTTGAAGTCATTTGTGAGTCGTTTGAGGAAATCAATGTTGTTTTTGAACTAGCAGTTACAAGAAGTTCATTTTTACAATCTGTTATTGAACATGCTTCACACACACAGGCTGAAATACACACATGCACAAACAGGATCCTATGAACATGCACTAATGGAGACAGCTACCAGACCAGTTTCCAGGCTTGGCCCGCATCAGGACTTGAACCAGCAACTCTTTGGTTCATAAACCAACTGCCGCCTTTACCCTTTTAATCAAAGTTGGACTGTTTATCTCACCATGTGAATGGATTTCACTTAATCTGTGAGTTGACTTTGACTACCTGGTGAAGTAACCTCACAGTGTTGGTGATTCTCTGACTCCTCCTCTTGTACCAACAACAGTTCAACATTTGTGGGGTAAAATATCTGAACCATAGTTCAACAGATTTCTTCGCAGACAAATGTTCACTCAGGAATAAATAATGTTTTTAATGATCCCAAACCTTTAATGTAACATTGTCGGGCCAAAAGTGAACCAGCGAGATCAAATAGTCTCAAGACTAGGCTGCCTGCTATGCTCTGACTTTGTTTTGTATCAAATAATGCAAGCATGCTAACAGCCCAAATGAAGGTTGTCTTCATGTTATTTTTTCAGCTTTAAATAGTTATGTTAGGCTTTAGAAATTAGAGGATTTTAGTCATTCACTTTTTCGGTGAACTGACTGCAATAACATAAGTAGATGATCTAAGTAGATCATTTTTAAAACTGATCTTTACATCCACTTCTCCCCTTTTGATTTGAATAGAAACAATATGATCCAAATCGTCTTTTCTTTTTCTTTCAAGCTCCAGCCAGGAACTTTTGGTTTGTGTCGATTTTGGCCCCCCCCCCCGTGGACAAAGCATTGTAGCTCACCCTGCAGTCAAACGCATCACCTATTGTGGATATTTGCCATGGAAAAATAAGAGCAAAGGTAGTTTTGTCAGCATGCTGTAAATGGTTGTGTCCGACATCTATCCCCAGGCAGCAGTTAGGAGCATTCAAGATTACAATATAGAGATAGTCTCATCTCTTATTGTCAGGTTTGCTTGAGGTCATTAAGAGGCATCACTATTAAGTAAAGACATTCAAAACCAGTTACAAACTCCCCACAGGTGCTTTAAGTCATTTGTCAGAATCCAAAAACTAACCCAAAGAAACATTTACGGAAGGAGAGTTGAAAGACTTTGTGTAACATTTTGGAAACATTGTAAAATAAGTGATTTCAGGGTCCCATCAATGAACAAAAAAAAAAGTATTAGCGCTCAGTCAAACCTCAAATATCTATAAGGTGTGTGATGTGGCATGTGCTTTCAAAAGGAGGAACAGTAGTCACAAGATGAAGCAGACAGGGATGTGACTGATGTGTGGCTTCTAACAGCTGCTTTGTCTGAGTCATTTTTAGAAAGAAAATTGTGGTTAGCATTTCTATCATCTGACTTAGAGGATAAGGAGGGGCGTTGTTCGAATCCTAGGTTTGAGATTTTGCTCAGGTTATGAGGACTGAGTTGGTTCAGTGAACATGACTTTATTGTTTTAATTTTTCAGCCCAAAAAAAGTTAGAATTACAGAATTTGTAACTGAGGGGAAAACGTCAGAGAGACTTGTTGAAAGCACCTGAATGCAAACATAAATCTGACAGAATGTTTTTTTTTTTTTTTTACAGTGTTCACACTATGCAGCCTGTGCTGTGAGGAATATGCTGGAAGGGAAGTTATAGAGAACTCAATATTTTACAGTTCAAACCTTTTTTTAAAAAAGATTGCTGTAAAATGATTTTAAGTATGCCATAAAAAACACAATTTAACAACTTTTGCCAAAAAGTAATGATTTTGGAATGCGACCATGATATCCTTGACATCTCGTCAGATCCACCTGCAGACTGTAAAGCTGTTTTCTCAGGAGATAAACTCAATTCTTTCATACCTGAAACCTCTTCAGCTCCACTTTTCTGCCAGCAGGTTAAAGTCTTTATAAACTCGTGCTGATCTTTCACACGTCATTCACTACCACACACAACTTTATTTTAAATTAAAGATGTGATCCCACAGTTTCTAAATATACCACAGCAGGCTGCATTTAGAAAAACTCCAGGCTCTGGAAAAGAATGACCTTTAGGTAGAAATTAGAGACATTTAACTTTGAAATAGTACAAATTAATTGAGGCCTAATGCATGCAGGAAAGGTCCGGCTGTATTTGATTAAATAAAATGGGCTGCTTTCCATTTAGGGGAGCCAGGTCCAGGGTCTGTGAATTGTACATGCTTATAATGTGATAGCTTACCTGGTAACTCCAAGGAACAAAGCCATCAACGATAACACTTGTTTACAGGCTTATTTTCTGCAACAAGTCATAAAGTCTGACGTGTGAAAAGTCAACTGAATCTGTCACCAGGTTTATCTAACTCCTCAGAGATCGAACCTTTCCTTCCTGTTAATAAATCACTCTGAACTTCTTTCCTTGGAGGCTATACCGGATTTAGAAGAAACTATTTTTCTCTAAAACAAAGGTAAGACAACACAACCCCAGTGTGAGCTGATCTCTGATGCATTAAGCCCTTTACTCAACAGCTCTTCAGTGCAGGTATTCAGAGTATTCAGACTCTGCTTTATTCCACAGATGAGGAGATGGGAAAAAAACGTCTCTGTTGTAAAACGTTTCAATAAAATGAAATAATATAATGTAAAGCGTAGGGCTGGGCGATGTGACCTCAAATCAATATCACGATTAATTGAACATTTAACCTCGATTATGATTAATGATTGATTATTTGGTTGGTTTTTTTTGCCCTCATATTGAATATTTCGAACTGAAATCGAAGCATCGCTTGAAATGAAAACGACACATTTTAATTTTAAAGTAGAAATGAACTTCTCTCAAACAGTACAAAATAAATAACTTGCATTTCTTGCAAACCGCAGTGTTTACATACGACTTCTTTTTGTTCGGTGTCGTCTTCCCTAAAGACAAAATGTGTCCAAACGACGGACATTGCATCCATGTTGCTGATTGGACGTGTCGTCACATGACCCTGCCCTGAAAATAATAATCGACATGAGCAAGACTACGTCGGTTAGAAGTTTGGAATGTCGCTTTCGATTAATTGCCCAGTCCTAGGAGAGCGACATTGTCAGGGTTTAGGATATTCATGTCTTTCATAAAACAGCAAAGTGTTGCGCAATTTCTGCTTATATGTGCTTTGTTTATATTTGACATGGCATACATCGTTTTCTTCCAATATAAAGTCAGCAGCTGCTACATACTTAACCTGTTTGAAAAATAACAACCCATTTAACGGCACCTTAAACCCTGAACGTGTGCTTTCACATGTATAGTCATGAAGCACACCCAGCTGTCAAGATGTAGTTGGTCCCTTTTGTTCAGACAAAAGGACATTCTATAAGTTAAACATACATCAAGCCTAAATCTACAAGGCACACCCACGGCACTGGAGGTGAACCATGAACCTCATGATCTGCCTGTGAAAGGAAGATGTGCAACTACTGTGGTACGAATGAGAGAAATCAAACCAACGAGAAAAAGGCGTCTACTTCCAAAAATGTTTCACAACATCAAGTAGACTCAGAGACACAAAACCCTGACACTCCTTTTTGTCTTCACTGCATTTGTGGGGGGGGAAGTGCCTTTCTAAGCTCACGTACATGGCCTGCAGAGTTATTTTCAAACATTAGTTACCAAAGAAAGAAAAGCAACACTCAATTAATCTAATTATTTATTCATTCATTTAGTAGAAAATAGTTCCATTTTGACACACTTTAAAAAATGATGACCTAAAGTACATAAACAGTATGGATAGAGAACTGCATGCAACAATGTTTAAAATATTGGTCATGATAACTGGTGTAGAACTGGTTTATAAATGAGACTGCAGTCTGTAGGTCAAGGTGCTCTTCACTTTAGAAGTGCCCGATTGGGTCGTGCAGGCTCTTGGACTCCTGCAGTTTCTCCAGCGAGGTTTCTCCTCCATGACACGGAAGTTTCTTGTGAATGAAGAGGTGAACATGATCGTCTCCTCCAACATGGACCTGCAAGGACATAAAAGTAAAGTCTTATGAGGTCTATAAAAATCCAGTGTACAATGTTTTCTTTGCTATTCAAAAAGGGACCAGAGACAAGCTGATCCTCTATGAAGGTAAAGGCGTATTTATTAGAACATAGTGTAATGTCCATTTAAAGTCAACTGGTACACTCATCAACTGGTTAGATCAAAGAAATGATCAGAACTGAAGGTTATATTACATACGTGTCAACAAATCAAAACAATGATTTAACAGAGATTACTAATAATTTAATTATGAATCCCTGATTCACTACAACTTAAAAAAAAAAAAAAAAAGGGATTTTGATTTACAATTACAATTCTTGATTACTGTTACTGCATCCTCTGTTACACTGAAACTCTTTCATTCACTCATTGTTACTCGATAGGAGCTCAGTCTTGTATTCTATTTTAACAGCGAGTTGAGGAAAAAGTCCAAATGATCAAATCCATTAAATTATGTTTGTTTTAAACGTGGTGAATTGTCTTCTCTCTTCTGAAAGTCATGACAAAAGTAAACCATGATGAAGTCTGCTATGCATTCCCCTATGATGAGTCATGACTACCATGACTCAAAGGAAGCTGTATCATAAAAAACAAGAAGTCACATGATGCCAATCGAGCTACAGGTTCAGTTATAAAAAATGTTTATATACTTTTGAGGGTGTTAACTAACAAGTGGCCACTGATGTCTGTGGCTGGGCAGTGGATGCACTGTGGACTGATAAGCTTTTGTTCTGCTCAGGAAAACATTGTTGTGAGTCAAGAGCCGTGACAAGTGAACCAAAAACATGACATTTGCAGGAAAGAAACCCGACAACGACAGACTACATTGCAAGCCCAATGAAATCTCAGTTAGCCGTGGTGCTGCAGTGCAGGCTAAGGTACATGGACCCCCCCCCTCATTTTCTTTCTTGTGTGCTTTGTTGTAAATAAGAATTACCTTGATGAAGAAGTTGGTTCCAGCACGACCTGTGACGTGTAGGTCTTGGCTGAGAAAACGTCGTATTTTTTCCCTGTCTTTGCCTCTACATTGTCCTTCACCTGGAAACAGAGTGGTGATGGCATAGAAAAACATGAAACCAGTTTACTATGCAGGACTATATGACTAGTTTCGAAAGAGAAAAAGTCCAAATATAACAAAAGAAAAACCATTTTCTGCTTACGCCATCAACCAGCTTCTGGATTGTGTCGTCGGCCTCGAGCGGTGGTGCAGTCCCTCCACACAACATCGGCATTTTGAGAAGTTTTAGGAGACACGTTAACGAAACACACGAGAGAGAGTGAAGAGCTCTGTGTCAGATTGACGTTCAAATTGAGTCAGGAACTCATATAACTGTGTTTTGAAGCGTCACGGGATTATACCATCTACGCAGGGGCAGAGGGGGGCTGTTTTAAAGGATGTCACAAAACGACAGTACAACTCAAGCCGGCAAATATATCATATATCATGTGTGGAGAAACGTTTTGTTTTGTATAGTGTAATATCTGAAATATTGGAAAGGATAGTGCTGAGAGAAAAAAATAGTTCCCCAAGCTTTGCCCTCGTTACAGACAACGTGGATCAGTCCGAGGCGCGGCTGTGTTTACACAACTGCTGAGCACTGCGCAGCCTGAAACCCATGATGATGAGTTGTGACCACATTTATTTAATACTAACAGGTTTAACATGGAGAAGTTGTGACACTTGTGGTTTTTCAATGTCTGGGGAGTTTGAGGACCGACGATGACTCATGTAGGCTACATGCACAAACAGCAGGTATCTCCTATAAACAAACAGGCCTAAGTTATGATGGATCAGGACTGAAGGCATCTCTGTTGTCCAGTTTTGATTTAATAAAATGGTGACGATTTATATGAGTGGCTATAGGAAAAATTCTCTGTGAAAACATATTTTATAAAAAAGAAAGTATAGATACATTTTTGGTTCTTTAAAAATCTTATTTTAATTATTTATGAGGTTGGCAGAACACAAAGCTTATTCAATTATTGTATTCAAGTACAAAGTTTTATACTTTTCCTTAAATTAGTAGGTCTTTACTTATTTGTTGTATTATTGCCTTCATTTAATAGGAAAGCTGAATGTAGACAGAAAATGTGGGGAGAGAGAGCAAGGGATTTGAGATGAGCGATGAGATGAGATTCAACTTTATTGTCATTACAAGTATAGAGTAACGAAATGAGGTTTGGCATCTCACCAGAAGTGCAAATAAGCAGAAAGTGCAAGAGTCTGTGCTATGTACAGTAATTACAAAATTTACAGATGTAGACTAAAAAAAGTGAATTATTAGGTATATCTGGATGGCTGGATTAATGGGATGCTATAATATAAATAAATGCTATAAATATAAGTGTATTCTTAGGATTATAATATTCATACACCAAATTCATACACCAAATGGCATCAGGAGTTGAACCTGCAACCAGTACTATAAGGACTATAGCTCTCTCTCTACACGAGGTGCCTGAGCTACACCAGTGCCCCAGTATAGGTTGCTTCTATCCAATAATCATTGGGTTGGGGTCTGATACCAGCACCCCCTTATGCCATGCTTCAGTCTCCCGGAGCATATGGCAGGCTGTTTTACCATTTGAAGCGCACTCCTGTCAGGAAGTACTTGAGTTTTTTTCTTTATTGCAATTATCTTGTGTTCATTATGTTCAAACTGTATTGGAAGTATGAAGTGTATGACGTTGTGGATATCATAAATTGAGAGCCCATACAATTCAAGCAACTTTATTTGTCCATTAGGAACGTCAGTTGTGTAAAAGAGCGCAGTGTGCACACAGTTCAGAACAAAAACACACACATACGAGTGGCTGTATTAAAAGATAAATAGGTCATGAATAATTGTTAAGAGAGGTTAAAAGAGTGGTGTTAAAAATAAACACATGACTATCATTCTTTTAGAGGAAGAACTACTAAGTGGATATCTGGAATGCTCTTGTTGACTAGGAAGAATTGAATAAAAGGCACCTCGAATGAATAGCAAGTCTAACTTTAAAGTCGTACCAAGGTGAAAGCAGGCGTATAGCATCTGGCTCCACAAATTCCTGATAATGGAAACTTTGTTGGGAATTATCCTGACACACATCTGTTTTGTTTGGCACATATGTATCTGAGGTTTCCTGTTCTAGAAAATTATGAAACTGTGCACAAAATCACACAATCCAATTGATCCTCAGGCTTGTCCAGGCAAATAGAGATAAGATTACTAAGAACGCTGGTTGAAGCATGATGACGAGTACCAATAAGCAAATGGGAGCTCAATGAGGACAGCTGCTGGACAAATGTGACAAATGCAGGCGCAGTAATAATTCAGCCATATAAGAAACATTTTCATCATTCATTTGTAATTTTTATATTCACCTTAATTATTAGAATCTCTCCAGGTCTGTTTTCAGTCTCTTTATCTATTTAACACCAAATCACTTCCTCAACTGAACACATGCTATCTTTATATCCTGACTACTTAAACAGAATTTAAATGTTACTTTTTTCAGACAGCTTTATTTTGATATGTTTAAGCCGAACAAACAGCACGGCTTCTCCTCAGTTTGTTGGCAGTCCAAAACTTTATCCGGGCTGAATTATCTAAACATAATTATCAGAGGGATCCTCGTGAAATATCACACAAACGTTTTTATACCTGGAGAAGTGGTCATACTTTACTCTTACTTTGGTTGGACTTTCCTCTAACACACAGGTCAGGCATCTCCACAATATGCTTGGAGATCTCTGTTTTGTTGAGCAAACTGAGTAAAGTTCAGTGCTAAAGAGGCTGCACACACTAGATATTTTCCTTCCTAATGGCTTAATTATCCATCAGATGAGTTTCCCCTGGTTTCCAAAGTTAAAACACACACACCCTCTTGAGAAATCTCCAGTTGAACGTATGAGGGAAATCACACAAACACACGACCAGGGAATGTAACCAAAGCAGCATTTCTTTAGAAGGGTTTGGGATGTCTGTCATTCAAAGAGGTTGATAGATTATCTATAATGTTTTTTTTTTTTGTTTTTTTTTAGTTTTAGAGGAGAAACAGTGGACTTTTATATAAAACTACATTTGTACATGAGATATTTTCTGCGTCTAAAGATGGAAAGAGTTCAAAAATATTGTTTTACATACTTTATTAATTCTGGTTATACACTCTGTTATTGAGACACTTCTCACACACATGGGCCCCACATTCATACATGCACAAACGGCACCCTGGAGAGATGTCAGAGCTGTTGGGGGGGGTTCAGCGCCTTGCTCAAGGGCACATCTGCAGCACTTGGGAAGTGACCCGGCACCTCTTCAGCCACCAGACCAACTTCCACACTTTGGTTCGCACCGGGGCTTGAACCAACCAAACCCAAGTCCAGACTGAGCTACTGCCACCCTGTTGGCTTTGTTTGATGAGAAACCGATTTAGACAATTTGACTGAAATGTACAAGCTGGAGCCCTCAGGTTATTTTGATGCTAAACCCAAATCCCATGTTGATAATGCAAAATGCACAAATTCACTATGGTTTCTGACATCCTACTTAAGCTAGTTGGAAAAAAACAACAACTTCACAGTCATTGAGCCACTCTTTCAGCAGATCCAAATGTGCCAAAAAAAATAAAAAATGAAGGAATCAAAATTTAAATATTTAAAAGCTGTCTTAGTCTTAGTATCAATCCTGCAGGACATGCAACCATACAAGAAATATGTTAGAATATAGCCTGAATTACACATGATTTGGCCTAACACAAAAATGTACATTAATGGTGAATAGGATTTCAGCATTTAGTTCTATCGGCTAATTAATAGCCTTTGTAAATGACCTTAATGAGATTTAAGAGCAAACCTCAGAGACCTGTAACGTTTTCTACCTGAGGATGGCGTTACGTTTAGACAGAAGAAGGAAGTCGGCTGTGAGTGTTATAAAACACACCTGGACTATGCTATCCCGTGTTGCCAGTAGTCTGCAGAGACAGCTTGTCTTCATCATGCTCTCCTTCGTCTTGTCTCGGAGTTTCTGTCAGGTTGTCGCAGAAGTAAACCGCAGGTCTTATCCGACCCTCGGTTCCGTCATCCGGACGTTTTCTACGTCGAGTCCTGCACGCGGAGAAGCCTCTGACAACGGTAGCCTATAAAATAAAATAAATAAAACCTTCTCATTTCGGAGTTATGTGTAGGCTTACTTAAATTGAGTAGCCTATTTTAGCTTTATGATACTTACGTTTCATTATTTAATCCATAAAGCCTCCAACAATACGATCTATTGATTTGATACAATTTGCTAAATTCCAAAATGGATAAGACAAAACTTTGATTATTACTAAAACAGCTTGTTGTCCACTGAACTGGTGTGCACATGAACGCATCAGTGGGCTAATTATAATTCATAAGATAGGTATTACCACAAATGCAGCCTACTAGAATATTATGCAGCCTAAATATAAAAAGGACAACGAATGTATAATTCAGTAGTTTTGTTTATAATAACCTAAATGTTACAGCCAAAAAAAAGTTGAATGTTTCATTTTGTGCAATAGAGGAGAAGAGACAGCCAGCTATCAAAATAGATACAGCATTATAACCTTTCAATAACCCCCACTAACTGAACTTTAATGCTTGACCAGGTGAGTCATTGTTCAAATGCATTCCTCATGTTTGGGGTATAAAAATCTGATGAGAGCAGTCCTGTATGTTGACTAGTTATGGTAAAGCCTTGAAATGTATACATGTATGTTCATGGTCAGAGGGATGTGTCACTGAAACTTTTACTTGACATCTGAGGGATTTCTTTCACCACTGCTGCAGCATTTTCAAACTGAATGGAGGGGAAAATGGGCATCCAGTGTTCCTGGTGTGATTGTTTGAAACAGAAGGTTTTGCTTGACCTGGGCATTTTTGTTTCAAATGGACAACAATGGTCGGTGAACGGCTCAGTTGTGTTCTGTGAGAGGTGTAGTTTATCCTTCCAGCAACAGCGTCCATGACCATCACTCTAAGCTAAATGACCATCTCTTACTTTTCAAACAATGGATGGTGAGTTTATAGAAAATCAGATGCGAGTCGAAGAAGTCATTTGGGACTTTTTTTTTTAAACTTTATACTAAAGTGTTTGTAATCGTTGATGTTTCTCAGCGTCTGTGGTGACCTACTCACAGCTGAAGACCATGCTGTCCACTAGAGACATCCAGCTGTTCGACGTGAGAAGTCCTGACGAGTACCAGGCTGGACGCATCGCAGATTCAGTGAACATCCCGCGTAAGTGTAGATCTATGTAGGAATTTGAGAAAACAGTGATTGTCCTTTTTTTTGTTTGTTTGTTTTGATCTATATGGCTGTTGTTTATCAGTGGGTATCCTGGAGGAGTCTCTGATGCTGTCCCCGGAGCACTTTGAGCAGAAATTTGAAGTGAGGGCTCCTGGGAAAGATGATGACAATATTGTGTTGTACTGCAGAAGTGGCAACAGGAGTAACACAGCGCTGAACATCGCCCGTCAGCTGGGGTTTATGAGGTGAATAAAAGCAGATATACACACAGGAAACATTTTCCAGCCCTGAAATTGTAAATTAATAAAAAAGGGTACCCTGCTTAACCACTCAACAGGCCCACTTAATGTGCTATTTAATTATTAAACAGTCCCAGAGCTTCATCTAGAGTTCAACGTTCGGACGCTGCTTTGGTTTGTTGAACACTGGATGACGTTTTAGTAGAAAAACAAACATGAGTGTTGGGAGACTGAGCTCTTCTCTTTGTGCTTCTTTTTCTCAGGGTGAGACATTATAAAGGAGGGTTCAGTGAGTGGGCAGAGCAAGAAGGAAAATGATCAACTTAAGTGAAAGAAGACGAAGAAACAGCTGAAGGAAATCTACGGAATTTAGATAAGAGATTGCACATGTCTTGCTTGTGAGCAAAATTGACTTACAGATTATATCATTGAGTCTGTTAATAAGTTACAATCAGGATACTTTGATCCTTTCTTACACATTTTACTCAAATTTACTGTTTGCTCCACACTTTTTGGCTCGTTACATTTGACCTTTGATTTATGACCAACTGATAAATGTGAAGAAGTTGATGTAAAATAAATCACATAGACATTTTAACAAGTTTATGTGTCTTTTTAGACCTGCAGCTTGTCCCGATAAACACGTTGTTTTTCACACCACTATGCAGTAATTGTTGTAGTTTTTTATTGTGAGCATGATAACCGGCCATTTTATACTGCAATTTTCACTCATTCTATTTTTCTAATTATTCATCACAGTTTATAGCTACATAATGAAGAAAAACAATTTAAGATTAAAAAAATATATATAAATATGTATAGAGACAATCATTTTTAGAAACCAATTAAAGCCGAGAAGCCAATAAAACTTGGTTTCTTGGACCAAAACATTTTTTTTTCATTCTCTGTTTCATTCTCCTCCTGAAATTGTCTTTATTCTTCTCTTGTGGTTGGTGCCTCCAGGCTAAGCTAAAGTCCAGTTAAGCATAACATAGTGAATATTTAGCTAGTATGAATTATTCGGGGACTACTGCCAATACTCCAGCCTTGGGATTCATTTGCAAGGACATGTCCAAAACTTCACTTGTAAAAAAGAACTTCACTTCAAAAAGAAAAATGAAACTTCACAATAAGGCAGTAAAATGTTTTTTTTTAATGTTTTTTTTCTTTCTAGATGTGCACAATGTGGTTTCTCCAACACGACGGATTAGTTTTTCACTCAGAATCAAGTGTTTTTAAAAGGTCTGACTTTTTGAAGGTACATGTTTTACTATTGGGACACTCCCCGTGTGAACACATTATATACTTAACTGGCTTAAAGTTTTGAATAACAACAGCCTTTCTGTATGGATTTCTAACTACATGCTGAACGTCTAAACTTTATTATGCTATTATAATTGTTCAGATTATTAGTTTGACAGAATTATCTGCTTTCACTTTTCTTTAACTTGAGGATAAAATGCTTTTCTTTGCCCCTTCAGAGAAGTTTGTACCCGTGGTCAGATAAAACAAAAACATTCGTCTGATATCATCTTTGACTTTAGTGCATCCCAAAAGTGATTTTAGAGAAGAAAGATGAATAAATAAATCAACAAACATGACTGATTTTTATGAAGAGAATACGGTTTGCCTTGTTAGATGTCAACCACAATATAACATTTCAAATTAAATGAACAAAGATGATGATTTTTGATAGTTTCATGAATGTTTTTTTTTTCAGCTGTGAGCATATCCTCAATTTTTTAATGTGTTGCATGTAATGCAAATTGACGGCTCATTTAATATACATACATACTGCCTTGGACATGCTTTTCTGTTGTTAAAATACTGAAGTATGCATGGTCTGGATTTTTGTCAAACTTGTGTTTTTGTGTGGGATGGAAGTAGTTTCCTCTTTGGACCAGTAGATGGCAGCCAAATTCCAACCATTTCTGGAAACGTTTATTTCCATTATTTGTTCTCACCACTGTCCTTTATTATTATTGTAGCAGTGCTCTCTCAGGTCTGACCTTCACACGGTTATCGGTCTAGACAGGTATAGATTCAGTGAGTAACAGCTCTGTGAGCAGATGTCAAGAGTCCAATGTGCACAAGGTCCATAGAACTCTCAAACTGTCATTCATATGGAAAGCAGATCTTACTTCACCTTTAATCTCCACCTTTCCATCCCATCCCAATTTATCAAAGCTGTTTGCAAGTGTGTGTGAGTGAACTCGTCAGTAAGGGACTGAATGTGATGCACCATTGTGGGATTATACGTCACAGGTCTGCAGTGACCATGAAAAAAGCTATTAGGAGCCTCTATTCAAAATCACCTTTACATTTTGCGCGTTTAACTCCCTATCATAAATCATGATGCCGGTTGCCTTTACAAAAAAGATTGTACACTTTCTGTAGCTGCCGTCCATGTGGGAGGGACTGAGATGGATTTCCTGAATGTTGCATAATGGGCATAAAGGGACACGTTTGGAATGAGTGAAGACAGCATTGCAAGTGCTCTGCAGTTATGGTCCGAAGTCAAAATTCAGCATTTGTCATGCGCTGTCACACTCCATCATTTTTTTCAAGTTTCAGATGTATGGATTCATGCCAGCTGCAGTGTGTGTTTGGTTTCTCATTCAGCTCAGCTCTGCTCTGCACAGGAGGTTTTTTACTGCTGTGGAGAAGAAGAACGGGTCAAATTTTCAATAAGCACCAAGGACACTTTAACAAGAGTTAAAACACACAGTGGCTGCAGTTTTGTGGTGAAAAATAATCAGGTTGGGCTGTTTGTCAGCTGCGTGCTGTGGTTTCATCCAACAGGCCATCCAACTCCTGCTGCTCGATGCTTTTTAAAAGCTGCACTTCAGAGGACGCTTTGTGATTAAACCAACACTGAGGCTGTGTCTGTGGTCATTTAAGTATAAAATATCCAGAAACATTAGCTTTCTTTTCTTCTTTTGACTCCCAATAGACTAAGTAATTAAAAAAACACTGCATGTGGTACAGAAAGGTTTGTTGAATTTCTTCCAATTTTTAAATTGAAGTGGACTCTGCAAGTTGGAGCTGCTTCACAGAGGGGAAACACATCTTCCCTTGGTACACTTCACATCGGTTTGGTGCGGATCTCACTTGCTTTGTGTTTGATTCTTCTGCAGGGCTTATTAATCGTATCTTTCTTTGAAATGTGGAAGATAAGGGAGCTTTAAGAAAAAGCGTGTCTTTTTTTCTGGCTTGAAAGGGGGCTGGAATTGGATCCACAGGATGCAAAAACGAAAGTGTGTCAGTCTATACATTTCTTTTCATACACAGACCCATAGTGACCTAATTTACACTCTGAAGGTCTTACTGGTCATTTCATCTGGTTGCTTTATGACGCCAACAAAAGACTATTTTTATGCGAATGTCACTTGAAGCAAAACACGACCCAAACATGGTTCAGGGTCATGCGGAGGAATACAGCCCAGGGACAGGAATGTAACTCAACATTATAATACTCACATCTCAAGCTTAATCATTGTGGCATTATTTCTATCCGAAATGTTTTCACTTTATTGAAGAAAAAAAGTAGCTTTTTATATGGAGTTTAAAAAAAAAAAAACAATAGTTGTAATATTGGGTCACCTTCATATGCCCTGCATCACTTAAAGGGGACACCTGACGTCTCTGACGCACGCACGACCTCCAGTTGAGTAACATGTAAAGTCAAAGCGTGGAAAAAAAAAAAAAAAAAAAAAAAAAACTCAGCGTGCGTTTTGCCGGTTCCCACAGAGCCACAGAGCTTTGAGGAGGGAAACGAAGTGAGCGAGTGCGCGGCTGGTGAGACTGTCAGAGCTTCCCACATTCACATTTAGCCTGTGCGCAATGGCACCGAGCGCTCCCATCGCTGCGCTGGACGCGATGACCGGATAACTTTTAACTCTGATGATGCTTTTCTCGATGGCATCCCATGCATCCTTTACTGGGAAACTGTAACAGGTATGTAAGTTTGTTGACTTATGGAATCAGTAAACTTCTTATTTTATTATATGTTATTATGCTTCTGCAGTTGTTGTGCGTTAAATTGAATTCTTATCTGCTGCCTTTTTTTTTTGATAAATGGCTTGTGCAGAAAGGTGTGAAAAATTGTCTTGGCTAATCCTCTGTGTGACTTGACAATGTTTTGACCTCAATTTTCCTCGAAGAGTGATTTTAAATCGTGATAATGTGCGCGATCACGGGGTCTAATTGAATTTTACGATCGAGGATTGGCTCAAATTAAGATTCCATGGCACCAAATACATTAACATTAGGGGAAAAAAAACTTTGCTGATGTTAAGGTTTTTTTTTGCTGCATAACCATTGTTAATTAATCCAGAATTAATTTATGATTAATCCTCTGATAATTAAGTTGTCATTAGTGTACGTGCAGTTTACTACAGTCCACAGTTTTCATTACTGAGCATTCTGTGGGCATCTGTAACTAAACACTGCATACATGTGAGTGTGTGCATGGATTTGAGCGACCATTATTTCCCTATTCACAAACACTGGTACTGATTCCTGCACTCTTACAGTCAGGTGTTGTTTAATACGGGAGGGGGGTTGAGCCAACAAAACAATAAGTGTGAAATCAGTTTCAATTAGCACAAGAAAGTAAGAACAAGTAAGCAAATCATGTAATGGAGCACTTTGCAGCCTTGTATCACATTACCAATGGCCTAGGATTAATAATTCATGTGTATGTATGATCATTGCATTAATGTGGTTTTATGAATTGTATTCCTTGTATTATCACACCTCATTTCGGACAAACTCAGCCGCCCGCCCTTGCTTTAGGAGACTTCAAGGTGATGGGTATCAGTGGCTGGTGTTGCCTAGCTTCTTCAGATTGTCTAGTAGAGAATCCTATGATACTGGAGCCATTGGGGAGGAACTGAGGGGGAATTATAGACTGAGGGAATCTTTAAAAGGCTCCTGGGTAAGAGCCAGGTCTAAAAATGTTTCTCAGTATCTTTTCCCTATTTCTGTCACAGAAAGAGGATGGGAGGTGGGGCTGAATAAGATGGATCCGTTTTTATAACATCGGCACAGGTGTGAGCATTATCACGGCACTGTTATCTGGCTTCAAGCCAGAGAGGGTGGATTGGAAATAATGAGAAGAAGGATGGAGTGTACAGAAGCAGAGTCCGGGACCAGAGCCAATCGGACCCCTCAGGGTGGCAGCACTGACTTATTACTCCTCCCTGATGATCTAACCTCTGTGACTGCTCAGAGGCACATTGCCAGCCCCTCATTTACCTTACCATCTCTTCTTTCTTGTTTCTGCCACTGTTTGGCGTGTTTAAAGCCATTTACAGGAAGGACAGGGAAACATTTGAAAGTCATGTTGGAGCAATCATAGATGCATTACACTGTAGATAAAGTTTGCTATAAGTGCATGAATTTCTGCTGAGTCTTTATGTAGCTGAATGTCTATACTGGAGCCAAAGAGCCGCACCTCGAAGAGGCATCAATATGCTTTTACATTCCTCACTCAGCAGGGAAAAGAAAACACTTGTGCACAGCAAGTCCTGCACAACAAACATTAGTGATCTACAGCAAAGAATACTGCTGAAGTGCATTATGAGACAGGTGAAGTTTCCCAGCAGGCCTCTGACCTGAAATGATCCAACCACTATTATCTGATAGCAAATATCATCTTTCATCTGGATGAGGAAATAGGAGAAATGTTATATCTGTGTTTGTATGTCGATGCATAAGAAAGGGAGTTACATGATGAAAGGTTTAACACTAAACTGTACTTTATCTAGGTCTGCCAAACATCCAACCTCCCATGTCACCGGGAAGCCTCCATGGCGATGTACAGCAGCACAGAGCAGCTCTGGAATGAATCAGACCACCTCAGATGGGAAGCGAGAAATGAGAGCTCGGAGGCATCAGAGCAGGATGAACGAAACTACTACGCCATGCTGTACTCGCTGCTCATCCTGGCCATAGTGTTTGGAAATGTGCTGGTGTGTCTCGCTGTGTTGAGGGAGCGTTCCCTCCAGACCACCACTAACTACCTGGTGGTCAGCCTGGCTGTTGCTGACCTGCTGGTAGCTTCTCTGGTCATGCCCTGGGCTGTGTACTTGGAGGTAAGTGGGTCATGGTGTCTGTGCTAACAAACATTAGGGTCAAAGTGCATTAGTTTGTGGATCCCAATTCTGTTTGTCCTATGTGGGGGTGGAACACATCTTATTTCATTTAAATGATTTCAAATTGGATGTTTAGTAGCACCACACACACTTCTGTGTGGGATAAATAACAGTTAAAAAATATCAAAGCTAACTGATTATGAGAACCATGTATCCGCTTACTTTTAACAAATAGCTAGCTTAATTTGTCACCAAAATTTTCTGTATCTATGATGTAATCTAGTTTATTTGAGCTATTGATAAAATATTAAAACGGCAGCTTAGTTTGACAACTATTAATTGATTATTTAACAAACTTCTTCATTATTAGCCAACTCTTACAAAAATCCTTTCAGTTAGCTACTCATTGATGCCAACTATTCACGATAGCTATTGATTTTAGTCCTGTATTTAGCCTATATCTGTACGCAAGACATTTCAAATGTCAACGTAAGCGTCAGTTTCAGCAGTTTATGTTTTACTTAAACTTTAAAATCAAGGTTTTTTTTTATCAAAGCTTTTAAAATTACTTGGATTTTTTTTGCTTGCTGCTTTATAGTTTCACTACAATCTCTTATCTGAATTATGGTGTTTAAATTTTCTCCGGTTTATGGGTAGACTAAGCCCCTGGAAACTGCAGGTGTAGACCCTGGGGTACAAGAAATGATGGTGGGTAATCACTGATTTGTTCACCTGAAAGAAACCGGGAAAGTAGATTGGAAGTTCAGAGGGTGTGCAAGAGAAAGGAAGGGCTTTGCAGTGGGTGGGGAGCCAACACCGGAGAGTAGACATTAGCAGAGCAAAAAGGAAAAGAAGTTGTGTGGGAGACAAAGTGGACTTTTGCAAAAAAAATGGAGAGCAGCAGTCCAGAAGAAAGATGAGGGTCATTTGGAGCTTATTAGATAGTGACAAACGTGTAGTTGATGGGAACAGTAAGGATGATAAAGGGTAGTTTAGTTGATGCTCCACTATTCATGTAGATTATACATAATTGCTAAAGGACATGTTGAATATAAATTAAAATTAATGTTCTCATCTGCTTTGAGGAAGTGGCTGAGCTTCAAATTCTGAAGAAGCAACTACCTCTGTTTTAATTTTGATCAAACCTGTAAGGCAATCTGCTATTTATGGTAGATGTTAATTTTGTTTATCGCTTCAAAGATTATTTGTGTATCATAGCTTTATTGCTAATTGTTAATTTTCTCTGCCTCTATCCATGGGTCACTTGCTGTTCAGTAACTCCATTAAAAGTACAAGCACACATGACCTCAGGCATTCACTTTTCATCAAAATATGCTGCACACTGAGAATGCACTGCAAAAGTGTCCTGTTTGTATACCCAGTCATACAAACAGGCTTGTGCGTGTAGGGAATAACATATTTGAAACCCAGGGGTACCAACTGCTTTGCTCAAGGACAGGTGTTTGCATACATGAGGTCTAAAAACCATGAGGTTGAAGTTCAGTTATGTTTAACAAGCAGCCACCCTGCTGTCCCAGGTTTGCTTACTGTCAGCAGAACGCTTCTTTTTTTTTTCTCACAGCATGCAGAAGATTCAACATCAGGTCAAGCAGAATAAGAAAATTAATACACTCATTGAGCAGAAGCAGACAAATTAAAGATGATTATCCTGCGAAGGTTTAAGGTAGACGGAAACCTCAACAGGATTCAGTCATGAGGTTCATTTCCATGCGGGCAGTCATGCTGTAAGAGCATGTGCTACAGTTTTTAATTTTAGAGTCCATGGGAGACCTTGCATAAAGAATGGCTCATTAAGAGTCACTAATGACACGTAATCATTATATTCATTAATTTAGCTGAAATGTAAAGGTCAGTCATATCTTAGATATTTAAAAAAAAACATACTAGGTTGCAGTGAGGGGGGGGAACTTTATAATCGAAAGCACTGTGAGCACCAGCACCATAAAAACTTAATTTGGGATTAGTTTGGTGTGACCAAAGGGTCCCATGGTGTTCTTCTGCAGGCATGTAGCAGGCAAAGTGTCAGAGTATCCTTCGTCCTACCCTCAACATTTACTAACCAAACCCTTGAGTCATACAGCTGACACATAAGTTGTACTTGAAGGAAGTTGTTGTATTGGCAGCAATAACTCAGCTCTTACTTTGCTAAATTGCGCTGCCTCAGGAAATCTACAACCTGCCACAGGAAACAGCTTTATTAACTATATTACAATTGCAACCATTTTCCTCTGAGGTCAAACCTAGGATGGGAAGCTCAAATGCAGCACACAACTTCTGTTCTTTCTCGGCACTACCTGATGGATGCGCAACTGGATGAAAAGCCACGGGACATCGATGCATAATTCATGTTAAAACAATATATAAGAAATCTTATTAGCAACCATTAGACAACAGCTAGAACTAGCATTGTTACCCCTCCCTTACTAACATTTATGTGATATAGTGCAACACAATGGGAGTGAGAGACCTAAATCCTCTGCTAATGATAATGTTAGCTTAAAATCGGCGCATCTACTGTCTAGCTTTTTGGCTAGCTAATGTTTTGACATTGTGGCGAATACAGTTCAATTTTTAGTGAGGAATACACTCCGTTTTCAATCCAAGTTTTCATTTGTGTTGTGTTGAATGGCACAACCCGAAAACACAAGATTGAATGTTGTAAAAAAGCTTGTTGCAAAAAGTATGTTAATTATGCTAATCGTTTTCACTTGGAAAACATTACAACACAAATTCCCTCCTCTTACAGATGCTCAATCTTCTGTCCTAGTCACAACATTATCTGCTCCTGCTGCGTATTTTTAATGAGACATTAAGCATACTTTATGACTGTGACCATATAGATCCCATAGTTTTCATCCCAGTCAATATGAAGAGTATTCAGAGCCCCACTGAGTCAGCATCACAGTCCCACATTGTGCACACAATGTTCATCATAAACCTCCATGTGTGCTCGTACTTTTTTGAGTGGGCTGTGACTGAGTACAAACAAGTAACTCTGTACATTCTGTACATTTACTTCATGTATTAGTGTTATTTCTGTCTTAGCAGCACCAAATGCCCGAGCAAAGATGAGAAAGATGAAAGTAACAACCTGTTACGAGGGTGCTTTGTTGTCTCTTTGCTCAACCAGAGTGATGGGCAATGTTTATGTGTAGGATTGAAATTAAAGTTTTAATAGAGATTCTGCTTCCATGATGAGAGAATTTTGGAGATATTAAAAGAGAATTGATGCCACAGAGGCAAAGATATGCTGGTATCATCCCTTTACGGTGTCCCAGTTCCACATCAGTATTCAGTATGGGGCACACCATAATAATGCAGTTAATGTATCACTTTTTTTTATCTAGAATCTTTCTGCTTTAAAAAGTTTTCCTATTTTTGCAGCTTTGCATTTTTTCTGTTGCTCATATAGGTTAGAATAATTTGTTGATTAAGTTTTCACTACCAGCACACATAAATCACGTGTTTAGAAATACTGACATGCATATAGCACTATTTACACACTTCTTATTACTTTCTCACTTATCTGATGTAAATACTCTTTAAGACCTAAAATGAAATTTTAATTAATGCATAGCGTTAGTAAGGGTCAGGCTGCTAAAAAGCAGTTCCCTCACTTCCCATAACATGGTTTAATAGTATAATAAATCACATCCTCACTGGCTGCTGAAACATCCACATCTTTACAACTCAGTAACCCCCACTATGCAGCAGGACGAACACACTAACATTCTTTGTCCCTTGTTTTCTTATCCGCTTTCTCAAAATTAAAGAAACTCAAAATCCAACCAGCCAATGAGGCGAATAGGAAGTTTCTTAAACAACACATTTGAAACCAGGCATTTAGTCCAACATTAAGCATGATGGAAAACGATGCAAACGTAATCCTATATGTTCTGTAAACAAAACAGCACATAAATAAATGATTCAATGTCAAATAATCTAATTGCAAATCAATGCAAATAGCTCCAACATTAAAGATGTGACCAGGTCATGTTTTGTGTAATGTATTGTGACAAATGTGGTAAATGCAAAAGATAAGATACGATAAGATGAACTTTATTGTCTCAGTGGGACTTTTGCCTTGGACATCACAGTGCTCTCATGCAGTAGCAAAATATCAAAATACATTCAATAAAACATGTCAGTTAAATAATCATTAAATTATATCCAAGTAAATGATTAAAACCATAAATATATAATAATTAAGAAAAGTAATGAACAGTGCAGGTACAGCTACACATCTACACACATACTCACACCCACACACTCGTACATACATATACACTGAGGGCTTTGATGGACAAGGGGACAAAGGACATTTTTAAACGGTTGTTCCTACTTAAGGGTACCCTGTATTGTCTGCCTGAGGGGAGGAGCCAGTACTCAGGGTGAAGAACATGAGATGGGTCTGAGATTATTTTTTGTGCCTGTTTAATTATGGTTTGTTGAAAGATGTCCTGGACGCTGGGATGTTGATGGACTCCCATGATTTTCATGGCTGTCTGTGTGAGTCTGTTGATTTGGGCCTTTGATTGAACAGTCAAATTTCCAACAATGCAGAGATACCATATCGTCTTCTCAGGAAGTGCAACCTCTGCTGCACGATGGAACAAACAGCTTCCACTTGGGCCTTCCACACAAGTTTGTTGTCTTTGTGGATGCCGAGATATTTGTAGAACTCTACCTGTGTTATAGTGTCATCATGGATGACCACTGGTGAGTGGTCACCAAGAGACCTAGGGTCGAACACCATCTCCTTTGTTTTTTGTGTTAGAGGAGATGGTGTTTTTCACAACACTGCACAAAAGTCGCTGATGGTTCTAGGTCCTATTTATTTCTCATAATTCTTTCATAAGACTGTACAACAGCAGCCTATGACAACAATAACAGTCCATCCTTGACACTAAACTTCACCCCCATAAAACACTACCCACATGACCTGCTTCATTATTATCATTGTATTATTGTATTTTTAATATTACTTAGGTCAATATATATACATATATACTGTACATTCTATATATTTATTATTATACTAGTCTATATTATATAACATTTCATTATATTACACTATATTGTTCATATTGCACAATATTATATTATATTATACTACATTATATCATATCATACTACATTATATTATATTATATTGTATTATACTACATTATATTATACTACATTATATTATATAACCGCACTCTGCACTACTGTGGTACAATATTGCCTCTCTTGCTGTTTTTACATTACTTGCTGCTATTTATTTATCATACCAAGTCACTTTAATCATCACTTGTCACTTTAACTTGTCATTCTCTTCAAATACTGTTTCAATTCTCAATTCCCCCAGTTAACTTCATCATTCATTTTGTTCTTGTATATACCCCCTGTTTTTATTTTTATTTTATTTATCTTATCTATTCTGTTTAATGTGTATTTGAGCTTTCTTGTCTGTGCTGCTGCAACGCCCAAATTTCCCCTCTGGGGATCAATAAAGTACTATCCTATCCTATCCTATCCTATCCTATCCTATCCTATCCTATCCTTTCTATATTTGTAAATGGCTGTGTGCTGGTCTGTGTATATTTTCATATGTTACTGCCACCTCTCTGTGCAAGTAGGCATCTATTCCTCTCGAACATAAGAGATTCAGTAGCCAGGCCAAGGAGCTTGGGTCCCATTCATCTTTGTCAGACAGTTATTACCAGCCATTACAGAGCCTAAGTGAAAGCCTGTCAGTCTGAGCAGGACTCGACAGGGAAGGTGTGTGTAGGTGGAGGGCATTGTTTGGAGTGTTATTGGTTTAGAAAGGGGTAACTGTCCTTTCTGAGAACAGGAAACTCTGGAGGATAATAAAATCCTTAGTTTGAAACATCTTGATTCCACTTCCTTTTTTCTTGCATCATGACACATTAACACTTAATCACCTTGTAGCTCGTGTTATCTGAGGACAAGAGCTGTAAGCTGACAAAACATGGAGATATTCATGCATTGCAATTGTGATTCCCTGCACTCAGGGTTGGAAGGTCTATAATATGCTGTTAAATGTTGTTATAATCTCATACTGCTGTGGGCTTTGTTTGTTAATTGTTTGAGATTGACCAGAAAAAAGACAGTGAGAAATGTTAGTAGGCTATTCAGCCACTTAGCTAATGCTATGGTTAGCTAGGAAGAAGCGCTGGAAAATATTGTATGACATAAAGGAAATGCGTATACTTGTTTCTTAAAATGAACATATTTGATAACCCGTTATACTCATCACCTCGGGTTAGGCAATGAAGAAGCTAAACATTGGCATTGATTACCTTCTGAAAAGGGTATGATAAGGAAAGTCGTAAAACACTTAACATATTAGCTACTATCAGACAATAGCTAATATTAGCAACAAACTACTTCCTTGCTAACATTACTAGCGGCTAAAAATGTTCACATATACTGTATTGTTTTTTACAACATCATCAAAGCGATATGTTAGCATACAGCAACGTACTAGTTAAGAGTTTTTTAAGCTAGGGAGCTAAATTGCCTTTTGAAAGTTTCGTGTTATACGACATGGAAAGTATTTTCAGAATAAATTGAGTAAAATCTAAAATGTTGTTAACCCCTAACCATTATAAAACACCTAATGTGTTTAATCAACCGCTTTGTTGCTCACATTACAATTAGATAGGATTTAGCACGTTTTCTGTTATTTCTACAAAGCAATGAAAAGGTAATATTGGCATTCAGCCACCTCCTAGCTAACAGTAATAACAAATCTGTATGTTGCAATCAAAATATGTCTTAATGTCAGTCTGAGTTTTTAGTATTTGCTGCACTTTGGTGAGGATTTTGGGAAAATGCTTACAGATTTCCAATATTGAGACCAATTAACGCCTGAAGAGCATCTTGGCATAAAATGCAGTATTTTTTGGTTCCCCGCCCGGAGTGTAATTTGAGAGGAAAAATGACTGCTGTTTTAATAGGTGAATTTTCCATACCTCCATGTAAACATTTTCTCTCCTACGCCTTTTCTTTCTGTCACATGTTTTTGAGCGTGTGCGTTCATAGTCTGCTTCACAGGAAAGAAATGAAAGAGAAATGTGTGTTGTTAATCCTCCTGTCTGTCCTGTGCAGGTGGTCGGCGGTGCCTGGCTTTTCAGCCGGCTCTACTGTAACATCTTTGTCACGCTAGATGTGATGATGTGCACCGCCAGTATCCTCAACCTGTGTGCTATCAGCATTGACAGGTGAGTGTGCTCTGTTTGTGTGTGTGTGTGTGTGTGTGCGCATTTACCTTCTAGGTGCAGTCACAGATGTTCCCATGACATCTCCTGTATGTCATCCACGTGAGGTTGCTGTATCTCCAGGTGTTATTTTATTCTTCACCTCACGTCATAGATTTTTCAAAACTTCCCTGAGAGAGACACTATCTTCGATGTGTGTACATGTCTGTGTGTCAGCAGGGAAGGCAGACAGTAAGACTTATACACTCTGGTCTTAATTTGCCGTTCTGAGTTCAGACTTGCTTTTCAGCTAGCCTAATTGCTGCCATTTGTTTGCATTAATGCAGAAAAAAACAATGCAGCACATCAGTTAAAACCATTACTCTATATGTGTACCCAGGTTTTACATTATTTATTTGCTTAGTTTTTTTCTCGTGTCACAGGTTAATATTTAATAGCTCCTGAGAATCTTTGAACTTGTAAGCCAGAGGCAACAAGAGTTCATGGAATGAATACAGCATGGCAGGTGTCATGGGGATGTATCTGTACATATACAAAGGAGAATTGTTCTACCCTTTGTAAGACTTGAGAGCTTTTTAAATTAAGCTAGTGTCATCATGTACAGAGCTTGACTACCAGCATGGCACAGAAGCAACTGCCAGAAGGACTTTTCCCTTCTTACGTTAAATAACAAATAAGGTGGCTCCTGTGTTGTTAGTTTAAACATATTAATTATTTCCTTTAATTATTGAAAACTGTGAATTATTAAGTTAAAACGTTTAAACTAATTGATTTTGTAACTAACAATGTATTAACTCCACAGCACCAAAGGACAAACAAGTAAAGCGTTGCTGATAAAAAGAAGTAAAGCTTTTTTCACCAGAGCCAGATACTTTCCCTCAGGACTTGGTAAAGACCCAAAGAGAGGGATAAGGGAGTGAATATTGGAATAACATTTTCCAGATGGTAGAAAACATAAAACTAACGAGTAAGTTGCTTCATAATCCGCTTGATGTGTAAATAACAAGCACATGAACTTACACATGTGATAAAATATAAATTTCATAAGTCAATGTAACATTTACAAATTGTTGTATAATTAGGGTAAATATTTATATAACACAATACATTCCATATTTTGTCTTGATTAACGCTATTGTACAGTATCACTTACTTTGTAAGGTGCTAAATCAAAGCAAAGCACTGATCACCTTCTGTGACATTGATTGTGTTTAACAGACGCCATACAGCCTTTGTGACAGCATTGTGTGTCTACAAGCTTATCTGATAAATGTTGCTTTATAGGAAAGGTACATTTTCACCTGGTTAAATAAATTAACACACCAGGCTATAACATTTCTGAATAATACACTAGAAGATCAAATTTCACATTCAACTTCAAGGTGAGGTGCACTTTTGTTTGACTGTATTTACTGTGTAGGTCATGTTTTAATGGTTTCTCAGATCTGAGGAGGCGAGCTTTTGGGTGTAGGGTAACATAAAGCTGCTCTTGATCAATAAATCATGTATATTATTTTCTTCTTACACCACTTATTCTGCTTTGCTTTTATTTTCACACACGGCAGCATCGTAAGAGGGTTCAACAGGGGGGGAGGAATATTTTGAGTGAATGTCTGCGCTCTGGGTTTCGCCTCTGTATTTTGCCCAGAGAAGATCCAGTGTAATTAGTCTGATGAGGATAAACAATCCTGGCAGTTATCTGGCTCTAAACAACATAACATCACATCCATTTCGGGTCGGGGTTCAGAATAATTGTTGTTTCTTCTAAGCTATTGCTGAGCCTAGTTTTCCCGGGACTCGTTATACACTCTTTGCGTACAGTGCGCTGATTAACTCTTAAATCAAGCTCCACTAAGTTTATTGCTGAATACCCAAATTGTTTGAAAATGTCTGGTTTGCTGCTTCACTGGTGGTATTTATATTACCAGTACCCACTTTCTCCCAGCAGTGTATTTCTTGGAACCCTCGAAGTCTAATTCTTTTCAGGGAGGCTCTTTTATTATATATTTTTTGACTTCAGTTTATCAGAACATTTTCTTCATTGAAATCAATCAATCAATCTTTATTTGTATATCTCAAGACGCTTTACAAGAAGCAGGTAAAATACCTTACTCTATGTTTTTTAATATTACAAAAGAGCAGGTTTAAAGACCATCCTCATTGTTATGTTACAAAAAGCAGGTAAAAGACCTTACTTAATGCTATATTACAAAGACCCGGCTTAATCCATCATGAGCACTTTAGCAAAGTAGCAAAAGTTACATTGGTAACATGATTTCTGACTCTGTCCACTGTCCTATCTCTCCATTAAAGGCATTAAAAGCCCCAAAATAAATCTTGAAAAAAAAAAGCAGAAATCTTCAGGCTGGATCCCAATGTCACTTCCAATCCATAGAAACATGCAAGCAAAGACCCTAATGTGTGTGTCTCTGCAGGTACACAGCAGTGGTGATGCCCGTCTTGTACAACACCACCCATCGCTCCAGGAAGAGAGTTTTTATGATGATTGCCACCGTCTGGGTGCTGGCTTTCGCTGTCTCCTGTCCCCTGTTGTTTGGTTTCAACACTACAGGTCAGGTCAACAACATTCAAAGTTCACATTTTTCGTCTAGATGAGCAGAGAGTCAAAAGTAAAGCAGGGTGCAGAGTAGAACGCAAGGCGCGAAGGCAGTTGTTGTGAGAATCAGGGTCAAACTTCACTCTGATAGCTGTGAAGGGTCAGCGGTGGTACATGAAATGCAAACCCGAATGGGATCCTCCAATTCAGCACGTCATCTTGCTTCTCATGGTGAGCCCTGTATTACTCAGCATGTGTGAACATGTTTAATTGTGTCTCCTGTGACTCTGTCTCGTAGTCACTGATAGCTGGAGCATGTTGAATCTGGGGAACATGGGAGCTCCTCAGGTAGGAACAGTCTTAAGTCACTCTTCAGAAAAGCTCAGTGGGAGAAAAGAGGAAGGTAAGGTAGATAAAATGAAAATGACTTCATGTTAGAGTTGGCCTTTTTACATCTTCTCAAAAAAAATCATTTAAATGGTGAAAAGAGAAAACATCAGTAGGCACAACAGTGAGGATCTTTCCCACAAGTTTGACAATCATGATGACAAAATAAAGGTGGGATAATAAACATAAGTATGAGTCTCTGAGGGATATTTAGGGGGATTATATCTGGTCTATACAACCAAAAATTGGATTTCCTGATCACATGTTTGCCATTTGACCAGAGTGACGTAGGAACAAGAATAATCGACCAAAAAGACAAAAGCTGGACAGAGAAACACCAAGACGTCAGGCCATGCCATTAGATAGATAAATGCATGGCTTCGCATTCACAATGGTGAGCGTAAGTGGAACACAATGTAAAGCTACTCACAGAGATAAAGGCGTTTTGTTTGGTCCATTCACACTGATGCATAACAGTGGCTTGTGATGGGTTAGGGTTAGGGTTATGGCTTTATAATATGACTGTAGACACTGAAGGTGGTTTGGAGTGTGCCTAGAAATAGATTGCTCCTGTCTGTTCCTGTTGTCATCTCTTTGTGTATTCGGGTATGTGGTATTGATCCAGAATAACATCCAGGCAGAAGCAAATCACCTCAGTTTGTTCATGCTCCTGACATGCAATATGCATGCCTCAGCTGTGGTCAAGGCCTGTGCCCTTTTTTTTTCCAACTTCAATTTACAGCACTAATAGCTCATCTGATAGATATTTAAATCTGGAATTATGATTGAATAATGATTTATACACTTATTATTATGTCAAATTGTCTTCTATGCTGAATTTATGACACAATTATGGCTGAATCAATCATCCCTCCATCACAGAGTGACTGCTTTCAGTATACGTAAGCAGGGTAGAATTAAGTGTGCATGCAGATTATATAAAAGGGACAAGCCAATAAAGGTCATTTTCAAATTAGAGAGCATGCACCGGGATCATAGAGGTCGGCTGTACACCACACTACCTGTCCCTGTTATTATCCCCCTGATTTGAAAGCTGTCTCGCATAATGATGGTTTATTTTCTGATGTAGATGACCCTTTGGTGTGCTCGATCTCCAACCCTGAATTTGTGATCTACTCCTCTGTGGTGTCCTTCTACCTGCCGTTTATCGTCACTCTCCTGGTCTATATCCGCATCTACGTCTTCCTTAGGATGCGACGGAAGAGGATCACCTTTGGCCAGGTCAGCGGGAAGGTGCAGCCAGGCTCGACGCCGCCATCTGTGGTGAGATTGCATTTTAATTTAAGGTTTGGCCTCTATTTCGTCCATTTCTCTGCTTCTAAACTTGTTCTTTCTAATAGGTCATCCTTTATGGGGGTATAAGGGTTTAGCTTCAATAATAACAGTTATAACTGTAGACCTGATCATTATATTAATAAATAGACCACTTATTATTTAAGGTAATTATTGAATATTGATGATTAATGAGCCACAGATTTTCATATCTTACAACCAAAAGCTTCTATTTTCCACAGCATCTTTCTGATCTAAAAAGCATAACAATGTTTTCCTTTTAAGAGCACATCTTTTAAATGCAAGTCCTCCTCTACATCCCCATAACTGACACTATTAGAGTATAAAAATGCCCTGCTGCTGTCAGAAACAATGGCTGTTTTTCTTAACATGCATGACTTTCTCTTAAGTGTTTGCTGGTTAAAAAAGTTCTGACGAGATGTCAGAGGAACCCAGGAATGTAACTTTTTCTCTAATAGGGAAGAAAAGCTTTGTGCTTTTTTTTCCCAGGCTGCTTTGTAAATTTAGGCTGAGTGGAACAGGCCTGTCAGGTAATCACAGTAAAGTGTTTGTGTAGCGATTACAGTAATAAGCAGCCAACACAGCTGTCTATGTAAACTGAGGCTTTCTAAATAAAACGGACTTTCAAGTTGAAAGTAGTTTAATTAAAGGGAACATATTATGAAAAATCCATGTTTACAGTGTTTTTGAACATATATTTGGGTAAGTTGAGTGTCTACTGACCCACAAAATGTGAAATAAACCCATCCAGTCCTTTGTTTGTGGTCTGCATAAGTCTTACAACACTGAGAAAAATGCTCTGTTTCAAATTTGCTCTCCTTGTGATGTCACAGTGGGATTCTTGTAAAAAAAAAAAAAAATCCTCTCCCCTCTCCTGGTATCTTCACCCATGGACTCCACCCCCAGCCTAGAACAAAACTTTTGCGTAGGTCTGCCATTTTTATTCTCGCTACAGAGGATTGATGTCTACCAGGAAAACTCTGCGGGGGCTCATTGCATTTAAAGAGACACACACACCAAAACGGAGCGTTCTGAGAGAGCTGGTTCATACAGGGTCACAAACCTCCTCTGCTGCTTGATTCATGTTATATTTTGACCAAAATATAGCACAGATGTTTCATTTAGACCACAGGGGACTGTTAGAAAAGGTGGAAAAGGGGTATAATATGTCCTCTTTAAGAGAATTGTGTTCAGTTCTGTGTTTCGGAGGAGTTAAATATAAATAGATTGATAGATGGATAGGCCATGACTAAGATGTTGTTCTTAAAATAGTGAAGTAATTACAGTGCAAAATAGCTGTCAGTTCTTTGATCCCGCACACCACTCTAATATTTGCCCCAGTTATATCTATTAAATAACAACACTATCTTTTAACCAGGGGCAAGGACACAGGGTGAGATTCTGTTCATCTATGTCAGCCCTATGTTTAAACTATGGAGTATAATAAAGGCGTAGGGATAGGATTCGTACCACTCTATTGTTGCCCTTCATTGCATGCAAATACATAATGGGCCAACTATTTAACAGCAGGTTGCATATAATTGGTTTTGGTTGAGCCTCAGTGGGCACACCTGTGTGTTCATGATGGAAAGGCCTCTATCTTCCTTTTCAGACTCTAACTGAGACATGCAGTGTTTGGATGAGGAGTGAGAGTGACTGACAATAAAAGAGATCCTTCAGTCCATTGATATCTCTTGTATGATTTGCAGACAGCTAACAAGATTTGCTTAATCAAAATAAATATAAATTAGATGAATTATAGAGTTCCCAAGAAATAACAAGAAAGATCTGTTTCTTTGTTTGATGGCGTCTGGATGTTTGGATGAGAAAGGTTGAGCATTTATCAAGAAAATATTTGAATATCTTCTCTCCTCTAGGAGACCTGTCTACAGGAGGAGACTCCCAAGGCGAGGCAAGACCTGTCACCCATCCGAATTAAAGTGGTGGGTTTATTTCAAACCAGAGCTCCAACACAAGCGTCACATATCTTGTATTGATTTTTTTTTCAGTGCTTTAGTGCACACGACAGTTCTGTTTTTTGCTCTTCACGTGTGTCTGTCTGTGTTTATATTCATGAACACTTTTTTGTTCTGCTCTGTTGGCAGAATCTGAGAAGATGCAGAAATTGTGATTCTAAAACGTACCTTGTTGGATTGTCCCACCTGCTCACTTGTCAGCCGAGCTGACAAGTGAGCAGTCTGTCAGTCTGTAGCAGTCTGTTTAAGTCTGTATAGGATGCACTGCAGCCCCTATAATCCTGGTATACAAAACTGGTCAAAGACGAAGAGAATTACAATCTGTTAATTAAAAAAAAACAATGTGTGAGAAGATGAATGTTTGAATTTCTGGCCAGTGTGGAGGCACATGTTGCACAATACTTAAAACGCGCCTTTCTTATTACTCCAAAGGTGAAAAGCTCTTAGGCTGCTTTGTTGAATTTATTGATGTTTTTAAAAGTGGAACTACTGGTACAAATATGGGCTTTAGAAAATGAAAGGGGCTTTTACAGCTAATACACAGATAGTCATAGTGATGTGTATTGAGTACTAACTTTGATTTAAAATCTTGGATTGGTGTTTCAGGAAGAGCTTTTCCACCAATTTCAGTCCGCCTGAGCAGCGCTTCTAAGATAAATTGGCCATAACCTTCTATTTGTATAGAAGTGTACATGCTGAAGAAGCACTCAATTTCTGATGTTTTAAGTTTTAAGTTTACCTGTGCTTGAATATGTATGCTATGCTATTCTAATATGTATGAGTATGTTTTGTCCTGACAGCAGAGTGTGGAGCCTTCAGGGCCATCCAAGCCCAACCTTCTGTCGGGATGCCTGTGGGGGAAACGCCCTAAGACGGGACCTGTTGAGAACTTTATGCGGCCCCCGGTGGACATGCACAACTGCTGCAGCATCAGCCACGCTTCCTGCGGACGCACAGAGCTGGAGCTGGACCAGGAGCGACGGGAGGAGGAGGCCGAGGAGCACAACCAGAATGAAAAGCCTGCCATCAGGATGGGCTGCGAGGTGAAGGATCTGTCCAATGGACGAACACACACGTCACTGCAGTCGACCCCTTATTCTCACAACAATCCACGATTCAGGAGCATGCACGCGCGGGAGAAAAAGGCCACACAGATGCTCGCCATTGTTCTTGGTAAGTTGAGACTGTAAGCTGAGGAAATGATAATGTAAATGTCATGGTTATGCAGGCAGTATTATAAATGAAAAACAGGCAGAGTTACTCATTCAACTTTAAGTCCTTTAACATTTTACAGACAGACTTTTGTGCCATGCTCACCTGGTCACCTGTTCTGCCCTCGTGATGGCATTGGCACATTTGCTTCCTCCGTGTGCATATGCTTCACATTTTGTAGAGCCGAAATAAATCAACCTGAAATGTCAACATAAAAATGTCTGGCTAGTTTGGGTTTCACAGTGTGTGTTCAGACACACGCTGTAGCTCCTGACACAACTTCCACACGCTCTAATTATCAGGCAGGTTCCTGGAAGCCCGGTCCAGTTAGGCCTGGCACGGCAAAGATCTCTCTAACAAAAATGTAATCAGAGGTGTCTGATTACATTACGCTGCTGTCAGTGATAAGTCTGGCACACACAGGAAATTATCTCTGTCCTGCCCACTTCCCACCTGCTTTTCATCCGGCTGACCACTGCTTTGCTGGGATCTTGACCCCAATTAAAGTTTTATCAGTGTTTCAACAATGCTGCAGCATTTAAAGTCGGTTATGAATAATAAACTGTGTCCTGCTGGCTGCTGTTCTGTGTACAGAAAGTGTTTTTTAAAGGTTTTTCAAGGTTTTTCCTATCAAGCACATTATAACAGCAGATTAAACCACTTGAAATTCAAAGTCAGTTATGAAGCATAAGGTGTTTACACAAAAACAAACAAAAAAAAAAGTCCAACTGCAGTGCCAGCTGCAGGTTTTTCTCCTAAAATAAAAGTGGATAGAAGATTTCATTGGCTTGTTTTAGATAGTATAATTAGCTAACACTAAGCTCTATTAACAGAATCAATATGTAAATGTAGAATCTGCAGGCTTTGATCGATGCAAATCCGTTTCCGCAATAATCTGACAATGATATATTTATGATCCAGCACACACCATGATTGTTCAGAATGACTTCAAAGTTTAATGCATATAAAACATTGGAGCAAACAACCCGTTTCGCACAGTGGCTTCCGTTTGTTTCGCGGTCAGTTGGGAGAGAAAAGCTAGCCCTAGCCTGGAGTTTGATGAAAAGAAAAGACAAGAACATTGAAAAGAAGGGGCTGGTTTTCATGACTGGAAAATACAAGGCTGGGTAATCTCACTTGCACGTTTGTCTGCCAGGCTACTGGCCTTGTGCGCCCTGGACGGCCTTGCGGTGAGTGACAATCCGATGCGTCGTCTGTGAGTTAAAATCTTGGTTCATTGCTGGATTTCAACAAAACAGCTAATAACCGGTTTGATTCAAGTTCAAGGGGTGTGGGTCGGCTATCCAGTGCAGTAACGTTTCTTCTGCTAGTTGGAGTCTGCACATGTGATCTCGCTCAGCAGCTGCCGCTTCACCTGAATCCTTTCACATCTTTTTAAGTAGACACTGCCCACGCTCTGTTCACACCTCATAATGGTGTGTCTAAGACTACTGCGGCAACACAGTGAAGTTTGAACAAAGCTTAAACCCATTCATTATTTCCCCTATGAAAGCCAGTCCAAGGTCATTTATAAACTTATCAAAAAGGAAACAAAAGAAAAAAGAAACCTTAACATTCCCCGCCAAAACTAGTGTCCAATAAATTATAACAAGATAAAAAAAAAGCAGCCTGTATTGCAGGGTGGTCAGCCTCCTTATTATTGTGAAATGTCAAGTAATGGCTGGTTATACTTGTAACAGTGTTTTTATCCACAGCTTTCCTATATTTTATGTTTCACACTTCTAAGAGAAAATATTATACATATTTTAGATTTAAGGATACCTCATTAACAAGTTTAGCTTGAGAATTGAAATGTTTTAAACCAAGTAAATACCAGCAATGTGCTGCTAACTTAAAACACAGGATCATTAAAACTCCTGCACAGTGGATGTGTTTGTGCTGAACATCATTTTTCACATGTGGTCTTGCAGCCCCACATAATTGGCTGATGACGATTGTTACATTATACATTGTAGTAATGCTTTGTTATTACCATACATTAAGAACCTAATGTTACAGAAGACAATACGCTGTTAACCCGGTGCTTACATGTGTGCTCTTGTGTTTCCTGTTTCATTCTGCTCCCTGGCTGCTCCAGGAGTGTTTCTCATCTGCTGGCTGCCTTTCTTTGTGACTCACATTCTGAACACCCACTGCAGGACATGCTACGTGCCTCCTGGGCTTTATAGTGCATTCACCTGGCTGGGGTATGTCAACAGTGCCCTCAACCCCATTATCTACACAACCTTCAACATCGAGTTCAGACGGGCCTTCATCAAGATCCTCAGCTGCTGATGGAGACAGAGCACCAGGAAATTAAAATGGAAATGAGGCTGTGCACTTGAGCAGCAACTCTCTTTCCATACATTTTGTAAACTGTGACCACATATGTATGCCGGTAATGGATAAGGGAATTAAAGCTGCTTCACATCCCAGCTTTACAGAAACAACAGGATAGCAGACACTTGGTTTTGCAAGAAACGCAAACAAACAGGGATTCTCTTTTTCAAAAAAAGCTTTTGCTCCCTCACTGGGCTGGGAGCCCATTTGAACAGTATTACTTTTCAGATAAGACACTTGCATACAGTCTAATTAAAAGCACAAGGCGTTGGACCCACTTGTACAATATGGGAGCTGCTCATCTGCACAGGATTTCCAAATCAATGTATGTTTAGAAGCTCTTTGGATCACTGGAGCCACAATGGAGCTTTAAGGCTGATACAGTAAATTGATCGCTTAGCAGTGAGCAACTGCGTCCTCATGCCCACTGCAACCACAGTGTGTGGATTAACTGATGTCTCTCACTTCCCCTGATCACACCGCCTCACCATCAGAGCCGTCAGTAACTCTCCAGTGCATGCACAAATCAAATTTCCAAGGGTGCTCCCTTGAATGTGAGGAATCGCATTGGTCTCGGCCAAGAGTCACTCTATTTTAAGGATTGTCATAAATATAGATGTGGAGACATTTTGCTCAATGTGGATTCATAGAAAAATGTAACATTTTTGATGTATTGCAGAGTGAAAATCCTGCGTGTATTTTAAAGGGACTGTCTGATTATTGGCATCCCCCCCATTCATGATACAAAGCTGGCTACTGGCAGTTCTGGTGAGCAGATAAAAAAAAGGAGCTTTGTGGTCTTAACAAATCAAGTTGGATTGTAAACCATGCAGGTCGTCATGGAGAGAGTTGTAAATAAAATAAAAAAAAGATTAAATGTTTTACAAGCTTGAGATCATCCATCTATACATGTACTGTAGCACACAGCTTATGTTAGCATGTGCGCTTCTAAATGTTTTGACCAAAAGTGTCAGTGGGCTTTCTGGGAGGAACAATACAGGGACTAAGCTGAGCTAACAGGATATTTTGAGATTCAGAGAACGAAAAAAGAGGCGGAGAACAGAGGCACAGAACCCGGAGAGAAAAACAGGACGAGATAAAGGATGATGGGAGAGCTGGTATAGAGTAAAGCCTAACAGATGAGAAATGGAGAGAAAGAGCAAGGATCAAAGATGACTGCAGATGGATTGATAAAAGCTGCAAAAAAAAAAAAAAATGAAAGGAGGAGCAAGGTGGGGGTTGTCAGTCATTCTCAGCCTGCTTCTCAAGCTCTCTTATTTCTCTGAGGGGCATAAACACCTGCTCCCCCTGACACTCTGTGCCATTACGTCAACTCGGCCTCATTCCACTGAGGGTACTTAAGAAAATCATGTACCAGGTGTGTTTGTGAGAGTGAAACCTTTCAGTCCTGCTCATTGTATAGCACCACAAATCGTAAAAATCAATAATAGTTTTATTCCTTCACTAAAAACTCTATTTAAAAAAAAAAACCACACTGATTATAATAGAAGCATATTAACAGGGGTGTCATCAAGACAAAAGACGCTGACGCTCGAGATTTCACGGTGATCAGAAGAGGCGCTCGCTCATCTGTCCCTTAATTGGATTTGAATAAGAATTAATTAGATTATAGATCTCATTGAGGGTGTTGAAGCTGCACAGCTGTGCACACGTGTCGCTATATTATTTCCAGTCATTCAAATACACTAATTAAAGTCACTCATTCACCTCATACTGTAAATGATCTGCATATGAGTTGAAGGCCCCACAGGCTTTGGGCTCTTCTGTAGGCCGCAGTAACTTTATGAAGCGTGTTTACATAAGTTACATAAGTACACATGTTGCTTTAAAATAAAGAAAAATTACATTACTTTTTAAAACATATTTGACCTTTATTTTACCAGGAAGTCCCATTGAGATTAAAATTTGTCTTTGGGACTTCCTGGTTAAATAAAGGTAAAATAAATGTTTCTCTGTTTATTTGAAGGCTTTTTTCACATGTTTGGTATTCAAAGGTCAGATATTTCTTTAAAATATTAGATATAAGTTTATTAGCTTTGCTCTCAACTAGAAATGCCCACTTTCTAAAATGAGTTTTTTTTTTTTTACAGGGGTTTGTTATGCATTAAATGTAGGAGTAACATACAAAGAGATATTTTAAACTTGTGGAATTTTTGATTTTATGCTGACTAAAGAACAGAACAACATTAAAAATGTCTGACTACTTTGTGTAGTGATTCTTAAGATATTTTATTATGAAGCAAAGTGATGAAATGACAGACTGAACAACAAACATGAGTACTCTACTACTTAGAGTAAAAATAGAAAAAGGGATGTTATATTTGATCTTACATTAGTTACACCTCTGATTACTTCATCAGGATAAAATGTTATGAATATACACTGATACTCTACTTAAACCCACACGTGTATGTAAACTGACACACATATGCCAGGATGATAAGCACATACTTGGTGGATTAAATCATTGGCTGTTAGAATTAGTTGTGTTCTTGTATGTGAAAGCACAAATGGGGTTTTACATTCAGCATGTATGAGCAGTGCATGATGGGACATGTGTAAACAAGTCTCAATGAGTTGATATTTGATAAAAAATGATGAATGTGATGCAGCTGATATTCGATCTGAAACATTTCACTCCTTTACTTTTCATTTTACTGTTTAACCTCCGACTGTATATACAGATGGGCTACATGTCTCCACCTCCTCCCGTTGTACAATAATAAGGTCAAAATACCCCCTCAAAAACAAATATTTAACTCACATGTAAAACAGCAAAGAACCCTCAGGGTGGTACAGCCCAAATCAGAACAGACTCTTGTGCTGGTTTGTCGCGGACTCTCAAGGTTATGGAAAGTCTGATGACTCCTGTGGGGAAATTAAACCCGCTTCACATCCCAGCTTTACAGAAACAACAGGATAGCAGACACTTGGTTGTGTAATAAACACAAACAAACTGGGATTTTCTTTTTCAAAAAAAGCTTTTGCTCCCTCGCTGGGCTGGGAGCCCATTTGAACAGTATTACTTTTCAGATAAGACACTTGCATACAGTCTAATTAACAGCACAAGGCATTGGACCCACTTGTACAATATGGGAGCTGCTCATCTGCACAGGATTTCCAAATCAATGTATGTTTAGAAGCTCTTTGGATCTTTGGAGTAAGGCTGGTAAAGTGAGCAACTGCGTCCTCATGCCCACTGCAACGACAGTGTGTGGATTAACTGATGTCTCTCACTTCCCCTGATCACACCGCCTCACCATCAGAGCCGTCAGTAACTCACCAGTGCATGCACAAATCAAATTTCCAAGGGTGCTCCTTTGAATGTGAGGAATTGCATTGGTCTCGGCCAAAAGTCACTCTATTTTAAGGATTGTCATACATATAGATGTGGAGACATTTTGCTCAATGTGGATTCATAGAAAAATGTAACATTTCTGATGTAATGCAGAGTGAAAATCCTGCATGTATTTTAAAGGGACTGTCTGATTATTTGCATCCCCCCCATTCATGATACAAAGCTTCCCAGTGGCAAACTAGTTTTGGAAAGTCTGATGACTCCTGTGTTAGTTTTGGTTATGTTTCCTCTCGCTGTGCATTCATCAACAGAGCTGTCAATCATGTTTCTATACCCGTTTTTATGGAACCAAATAGCTAATTAAAACTCTTAGAAAAGTGAACACTTAAAAAACTATAAAGACAGAAACAATGTTTGAGAAACATGTTCTTGTCGTGTATTTTGTTTTTTAAAGTTCAACTCATTTTCCATCTGTTAACATGGAGGAGGTGGAGTATATGACCTATACTGTAGCCAGTCAGTCAGAGGAGCTCTAATTGTTTTGGCTTCACTTTTTGGAAGCCGTAATGTTCTCCATCTTTTTATACAGTCTGGTGGTCTTTAGTCACTAATATCATTACGTTCAACAGGAATTGTTTCTTAACCAGAGTTGTTTCAAAATAAAAGCTAGTTTCATGAAAACTGTAGAAACCTATATTTCATGAGATATGCTAAGGGCAGCAGAGAAGCAAAAAAAAAAAACTTCAAGGGTAACATCTTTTATTAGGGTATCTCTTTACTAGAGCTTCAATTTAAACTGGGGGATTTTTCAGGCTACGTGCACAAACTCATGTGTTTGTTCAATTTGGATTTAAATGTCCTATCTTTTGCTTTACATATGCCGCAGAGGTTTTTTTTTAACATTAACAACAGAGCAATGACTTAAAGAGCAACCACTCCCGTAAATCTCCTTCTGCTTCTTCCCCTTGTCCACAGTGATATGAAAGCCTTTGTACATTTCTGTGGGTGGATAAACAGATGTGATCGGCACTTGCAGAGTTTAGCAGTGGTTAATGATGATGGATAAAGATGTTGTGATTGCAGAAAAGGATGGCTAGAGGCCATGACTGACATTCAGTCTGTCTCTCTCTTCTTCCACAAATACCTCCCCCTGTTTTCCTCCCACCAGTCTGTCAGAGCAGCATGATAATCATCCTCCCCCCTCTCTCTCGCTCTCCCTCTCTCTCCCTCCCTGTCCTTTACACACATGCTGCCTTTACCTATAATTTGATGCCATTTCAAGGTTCAGAAGGTCACGTGAGGAGGGAACCAATCCTTCAACAGTGGGAAATGAGTTATGTAAATTTGATTGCAAAGTAAGTAAGATAAACAGTAATTTCTCTCTCTCTCTCGCTCTCATTCATTCACAAACAAACATCTGTTTCATTTGTGTGAAGTATGCTCTTATAATCATGCAAGAGACAAAAATATGTTTAAGCAAAAGCTGGTCACCACAAGGTTAAATGAAAAATCTGACATGTAGGGAAAATGCATGTTGCATTTCCTCCAAGAGTGAGATGAGTAGATCCATAGAAATGCAAATCTCATATCTGTGCTTTAAGTACTCGATGTAGCCGCAGCCAGCAGATGGTTATATTAGCTTAGTCTGAAGACTGTAAACAAGGGGAACAGTTAGCCTGCCCCTCTCTGAAGATAACAAAAGGTTTTCCGCAAACCAGCATAAACATTGATATCGGTTTGAAGTTAACTCAAACCCTAACCCTAACCCTAACCCACTACCCTACCCTTACCCTTACCCCTAACCCCTTTTGTAAACAGTTTACAAAGATAAGAAGCCATTTGAAGTGATACAGGTCTTGTGCTTTATCTACAGGAAATAGAAATCTGGAAGGAGATTGTGCTACAATGTGGGAGCACTGAATGATTTTCCTGCGTTGGTTTTCTTCTTAGCAGGTCTGCGTAAACTCTTTGCCGGTCGAGGTCCAGGGTCTGACCCGCACCGTGAATGAGCATTGGTAAGGCTTAGCTTCATCTGGGTCTGTATGGACGAGTTACACAAGATGTAACGTGTGAAACCTGTGGCTTAGAGATAATAGTTGCAGTGGGATAAGCAACTTCTCTGCTAGCTTAAATTTAGCATCTGTGGTTTATGTGTTAGGCTAAATATTTGTGTCTGTGACTGTTAACACGTAGGAGATTGACAGTTTATCGCCTTTTAACTATCTGATGAACGACAGGATGTTTCAATCGCAGCAGTCTCTTAATATTTTTTTTTGTAGGGTGTAATGTTGATACCACAAATTCAGTATTACAACTCAGAGGCTAATGTGTAAGCTCTCTTGTGAATCACGTCCTCTTAATTGCAGCCTCAACAATATAAATCAAGCAGGTAATTGTTCTTCTTTGAACAGGATGAAGCCAGCTGTTTCCCCTGGTTTCGATCTTTCTGCTAAACCAGGTTATAGCTTTATAAGGACACATATGTCAGCGGTACAGTTCTTCTCCTTTAACTTTTGGAAAGAAGAAAAAACAATGTTCGACAATGCCTTAAACCTTTTTTTTTAATGGTTTTAACTTTAGTTTTAGGTTTAAGTTAGATTTAGGTGCAGTGGTTTTAGAGTTTACGGTTGAGTTATAATTCTCAGGGTATGTCGTAACTCAAGTTATTGTTTTGTCTTACTACCTTAATCAAGATACAGAAGTGTCTCTGCACGTGTGTACGCATGTGCATGTGTGTGTGTGTGTGTGTGTGTGTGTGAACGTTTCCCTGGTGAAAGGTTAAGACCATTAGACTGCTAATGAATGCATAATTTGGCCAAGACGGAAGTTCGAGCCCTTTAAACATGGACCAGTTAGAGAGGGATCAAAGCAAGTGTTGGAGCCCTTCCCACATAGTCACACATTTAGGAAATA